TGCAATGCAACATATGTTCCTCTACACACAAACATCTTCATGCCGCTTTTTGGGCATTTTTTACCTTTATTATAGAGAGAGAGAGAGAGAGAAAGAGAGAGAGAGAGAGAGAAAGAGAGAGAGGTTTGACATGCAACAAAGGTCACTAGCTAGAATTGAACCAGCAACGGTTGCAACCATGTGTCCATGTGGCATGCACTGTAACCATTCAGCTACAGAGGCGCTCCCCTATATGCCATTTGTTTTGAAATGAATCAAATTTTTTCTGGCTTTGTAGCCTTTATGAAGAGTGACAATTGAAGAGTGAGAGGGGGGGACAGCGTGCAGCAAAGGGCCTCAGGCTGGAATTGAACTCGAGTCTAATAAAGATAAAGACTTTAAGGCCCTATGGGTGGTAAGTGGGGCATGTGTTTAACCAGGTGAGCTACTGGGATACCCCTTTTTTCAACGTAGACTTAATTCAAACATCAATATATTCAGCTCAAATTAATGGAATGGATGGAAAATTTTACACTTTTTCAAATCTTGCCTACATATTTTCAGTTAGAAAGTCCATTCAAACCTGTTCCACATCTGTCGTACATTTATGGTGTTATTAAACTTTCAAATCCCATTAAACTTTTCAAAATATTAAACTTTCTTTGAAGATTAGTTAGGTCAATTAGAAAACCCTTAAAACCCACTCATCTGCAACCTTTTCCCACTCAATCATACAAATCATCAAACTCCATTCAAACTTTAAAATGCTCACAACATTTTTTAACATTTATTCCACTATTTCCATTCCACGTCATTCATAGGCCACTTTTTACACAATTGTAGATTGACATTTTCAGACTTTTTCTTACTTGCTCTAATACTTTTCATTTTTTAGATCACAAACAGAAAATCTATATCAACGCATTAAGCAGACTCTTGTCTCTTACAATATTTCTTTATTTTATTTGCATTTTTCAAGTCTTACATTCTCCTTTATACTTCAGCCAGAAACTCTATTCAAACCTTTTCAGTCCCATTCATAGTTAGACCCATTCCCAGTTTTCCAACTCTTCATACTCCTAAAGCGGCTTCTTTATAGAAATTATAGCTAGCGATGCAATTTAGCTCCCAGCTTACACTATATTTTGAGTTCTTCATGCCTTTGCCACTTTTCCAACTTTTCATACATTCATTCTCTTCTGCTTCCCTTTTCATATAAATTTAAGCCAGTAAGGCAGTTTAGCTTTAGCTTTTAACAAACAATAAAATATTCTACATTATACTGATATTATTTTAAAAACAGAAATTCAGTTTAGCGTCAGCCTTTTAACATCCAGCATTCACACCACAATTTCTTTAGAAATTGATTCTCTTATCAATTATTTTAATTGTGTTCCCAACTGTATAAAATGTAATGTATTGCCTTGTTGCATTGCTGAAGGAAGTAGTGTACAAGCCATAGACACTTTTACTTTTTACTTCTATTGTGGGAAATGTTGAGGGCAATGTAAAGCATACATTTGCACAATCAAATATATGAATTTGGGCAGTCAAATAAAATGGCTATTTATTTTTACATAAATAACAAAAGAAATGTAATGTAAATAATAATAAATGTTACTGTATAGTAAATAAATGATTTTGAAAACAGGATGCTTCCTGCTGTATATTGGATTTGTGAAAGTTTACATCCACAAACTCAATTCACGAGATAGGATTACAATTTTAAAACTCCTCAGTTAGTCCTTATCCTCATAACCATTTTCTCTGGTTACAGTTACAAGATACAAACAATAAAGTGTAAATGTAACTTTTGCGTTGCTTGTGCAAAAAGTTTTTTATTTTATTTTACAGAAACCATAAACATGAAATGATCAAATGGTCAAATTAATGATTCATAATTGTTATGTTATTCTATAACCTAAATTTTATTCAGACTGTTTCAAATAAACAATCTGATAGTATTTCCCATTGTTGCTGACCAAGAGTTTTGTGCAAAAGGAATTAAAGGCCTGTCCCAGATAGAGGCCTGTTTCAAATACAAGCAGGTTGAGTTCAGTGCTTGAAACTATTAATTTAAGTTTTATGGTATTAAAGCTGGTTAAAGCATTGTCATTTCAGCCTCTGTCTGAAATCAGTTGGGATTGTTAAAAATATTACTAAGAATTTACTACAGTTATTAAGTACATTTGTACTATATGACAGAATACAACGTGTACCAAAAGTAACTTAGCCAAGGGCAAATTAGTAATTCAGTATACACAGCCATGCAAATAAATTCATATTGTGCACTCTATATTGAGACCCTGAGGCCAATCTATACATTACACCCCCAAACCACAACTCAAGTCCCCCCTCCCTATAGGTTATGCAAAACATCCCCATAGAGTCATAACCATATAGGCCTGCATCTGCTCAGGGGGATCTGCTGACTCAATGGACGGCAGGGTGTGTGTGTGGCGGGTGTGGGGGTTAGGATGCATTTAATTGATTACCCGCTTTGAAGTGTGGAGGAGGGGGTGGATGAAGCCACACACACACACAGCTTTCTCCTCAAACCATCTGCCTGGGGGTCAACATCCCATCACCATCCCAAAAGACAAGCCTCCCCCACCCCCCTCAGCCTCACACACAGCTCTCTCCATCTTTTCCGACTCATCCTCTCGCCCTCAGTGACCTATTCCTGACCAGAAAAGAGTATGGAGTAGGTGAATGAATGTACACACAGTTGTGATTTCAGTGACTGTAAATGGTCAATGACAACATGGCGCCGCCATTCAAGATCATGCAAGCCCTTTTCTGTCCAGGTGATCTTCCGTCTGATTGTTCAAAAACCTTTATAATTAAAAGCAGCAAATGAGAGGTCTGCTGAGATGGTTTGTTCTCTGCTGTTGAGATGCTGAATGGATGGACTGTCAGTTTATTATTTCATGTCATCTACTGCCATCTTGTGGCCAAAATTAGGAACAATCACAGAGGCGCTGTATGTCAAACAGGATCTGGTAAGTTACTTGTTGTATTTTTAGAGCCAATTTCTCTCTTTGTGTTTCCATCCCTCCGCTGCAGCTCAGCTAGAAACCACTGTGGAAGCACAAAGAGGGAATTTCATACTAAAAACTCTGTAGATATTTTCACTTGATGTGGCTAACTCAGACTTATTATGCTTTAAATTAGCTTCAGATAAAATTGTTATACATTTTCTGGGTTGTGGATTTTGTCACCCATGACTTACACCCCTTGTTAAGAAAGGATATCTAATGCTCAGTAGGGACAAGAGGAATAATTCAGTCAGTCTTGACTATTTTGTCACTGCTGAGGACCTGCCACAGAATTTGGCTTAGGAGACATATGCAAGCTGTGTGATGTGACCTCTCCATCCTCTATATATTTTAGAGTTTGAGCTTTTAAGGACAGAGATTCGGATTTCCAAAGACCAGGTCTAATACGGGGAAACATAATTTTCTCTCTCATGCCATTTAACTGTTACATACTTAGGTTGAGTCTATGTATTTCATGTAAATGGAAGAGGATGACATGTACAGAGCACATGTTTGACATATATGTTTTATGCATTTTATTAGGTCTGTGCATGCCCTGTGTTTCACCTGGCTGAAATGTCTTTTTCTTGGGGACAATAAAGTTATATTTGACATTATGCCAAAAATAAAAATAAATTAATGAAGTGGGGAAGGAAGGGATGTGTGGATGAAGAAAGGATGAAAGGATGGAGGTAATATTGAAAAGTTGAAGAATAAAGAAATGCTATGTACGCATGCATTTATGAATGGACAGATGAATGGATGGATAAATAAGTAAATGAATCAATAACATTTCTGTCCAAAAACTTCCTGTCCATTCTACTCAGGCATTAACTACAATGACTGCACTCATTCATCCATCTACAGCCATCCATCCATTAATCTCCCCATCCATTAAACACACAGCCTAATGGAAGGTAATTCATCCACTCAGCATTTGACTTTGTTCAAAAGGGTGTCTAATATTCTGTTCACTGCAAAGCATGTAAATGAAGGTAGACAAGGCATTCGTAGTGTAGTATTTATTTAAATACATTACATAGTCAGGGGTTTGTCCAGGATGGCACAGGCCACCCCTGAAACCTGACTGCCAACCCATTATCCTAAACCATGATTGACTATGTGCCAAGTTTTGCACAATTTTGTCAGTACAATATTTTGTCCACATCGGCTCATTTATTTTATGTATTTATTTTGTTGGTACTTTATACCGTGACTGTGTTTTTGAATGTGCATTGTTTCATGTTTTAAATCGCCTTCTTTTGAGGACTCTTGCACTGCGTATTGAACTAATGGCTATTTATCTTTTAAATAAAAAACTTAAACACAGAAATGCAAAAAACTGTAAATTAATGCTATTTACGACATAAGTGCGTGCCCCATTACTTCATGCCACCCCTGTATAATTTAGCTCACCACTACAGCCTACCTCCTTAAAAAAATGTGTGGCCAGATGACCTGTGTCATCTCTTCTCTCCCCCCCCCCCTTC